ATGATTGGTAGTCGTCAGGACCTGCTCACGATCATGTGTTCACTCTGAGAGCCAATCACAGTGGTCCCATGATCACTGATCCTTCCTGGCCCTTTGGGTATTCTGAGCTCTTTAAAGGGATTCCGGGGTGGGCGGTAAGGGGTTAAAAAGCATGTAAACATTAACAATAGACTTTTCATTTTTGGTCCCTTTTAGTTCTGTGAAACTATACAATGGAGATGAGTAGAGGAGGAGGTGTTTTTGGTTACATCCTAAGGTGACAACACTGCTCCTCCATAGATACAATATGGTGATGGCGAACTATCGCCCTAGGATAGGAAGTATACCACTGGCAGGATCACCCAGTGAAAATAAAGAAATAGGAAAAAAAAGGAAACCTTAAAGTAAAAAAATGAAAGCAGCCACATCTTAGGACTGTAAGCTGAAAGATAAACCCATAGTTTGAATTAAGCTATTGGTACACCTTTAGAATTCTATTGTTGAGCCTGGATGGAGGAATTTCCATTGCTGTACTATTGTATTCATATAGCCACAGCATCCAAAACTGTATGAATACCCAAACAGTGACCGCTTCTGATAGGACAAAGTCACTGTTTGAGAATTTTCTATCTGGTTTATTTGATTTTTAAATTGATTTTTGTCAAGCTGGTTGATGATGAAAGGGCCATTAAAGGCTTGACCGATGCAGTTGGGATTAGTCGAAATGTGTGTATGGCTAGCTTAGTCCATGACTCACAGCAAATTTATCTAACTCACAAACTGTCCCAGAACATCAGGATAGCTACAAAAGGTGGAGGTATTTTTATAATGTATATATTTCCAATGCTTATTGTAAATGTTTTATGAACACAATAGGTATTGGTTTCTAAAGGAATCTCTATCTTCTTGGCCTTGTTAACTTTAAATACCTCATTAGGTTTAAGAGAATTATAATAACAGAACATTTCCATAAGCTTGATCGAGTGAATAAATGACATAAAATATGGTAAAAAAAAATCAGTAATCCAAAATAGTTTGGTTTACTAAGGGTTCGCCAACCCACAGAGGATGTGGATTTCAAAAACACAATCAGATTAGAGAATATTTGTTTATTCTGAATTTTAATTCCCCACTCTAACCTCACTGACTGCTTGTAGCAAACACGGTTCCTCTATTTTGGCACCCTAAGTGATATTAAATTATATTTCTGACCAAACAGTGGTGAGTTGGTAGCAAATTACAAAGATTCTGTATAGGCTATATTCTTTTCTCATACATGCTATAGCTGAAGACAGGAATACAATCCTATGTGTTGGTAATCACAGAAATATCACAACATGACCACTGTTAGTATAGAGCCCTACTGTTAACATGAGAAATCCTTAAAAATAATCATTGCCCCTTTGAATGTTCTCTGTGATATGGAAACATTATCTGAGGAATATTGCTGTGGCTATCTATTATCCCTCGTCTATATTTAACCCTCCTTTTGTTCCTACTTGGCTCAAATTACTGGAAGTGCTAAATATAAAAACGACCTGAGAGTAGAACACTTTATTCATTATATTTCCTCTGTTTATTAGATAAATCCAAAGTTACACTCTTCAATTTGGGGTTTATTTAAAGTCAGTAGATTTAAATAGCTTTTAATAGTTTACTCTCATGACACAGTGGATGTTTCCCTTTCTGTAACCATTTTATATTTGAACATTATAAAACATTTGTAATCACAGTACCATTCTTCAAGAAAACCTGTTGCCATCAGTTTTTAATTTTCAAAAATTGGGTGGTCCCCTAACTACCATTTAAGTTCTCTGAAGGCAATTTTTAAGAAAACATTTATTGTTGAGCATATGTAGACTGAATCCAATTAGCAGAGCCCACTTAGGAGAAAAAAAATTAAGTTTTCTTAATTTTTCTTGTATTTTTAATACATCCATCAAATAGTTTAAAAAGATATAATGTTGACAGTGTGTGGTGACATGGGCTTAAGTAGTATGTAACATTATCATGTATTAATTTCGAATGCTTTCTTTTCAATAGCTTGTTATAGTGCAGCAGTACTCTATTAGGCCTATTCACGAAGATAAAAGATACACAGTAGGATAGATTTAGTAAAGCAGTAGAGACTCTTCACTCTGCAAAGTAAATGATAGTAAATCATGTGAAGCTGTGTTCACCTTGAAAACCCATGTATAAAATTTAAAAGACAGGATTTTAGCTAGCACATGATTGGACGAATTGGTGAACATTCACTTTGCTAAATGAGCAGTCTATATTTCTTTTGTAAATCATCCCCATTCAGTCATCTAGCAGAAATCAGCCTTCCTTTGAATTGCTCTAATTTGATTAAAGGTAAAATTAAATTGGCTGCTAAAATATTATTGTATTTATCAATGAAACCAGAATATAATAAATATGACACTATTTTTATTTTTTTAATGCCAAGCACATTGCAAGAATATTGGTCTTGTTCACCAAAGCCAAATCATACACTAGAAGATAGATGTTATTAGTAGCATATTCCTTAAATAATAAACAATTTAATTTTTAAAAATGTATTATTTCTAATATCGGTGGTTCAGAGTTAGAATAAGAATTCTCAGATATACAATATGTGTGTATTACCAATTTCTAAAAGGTACAGAAGTATTTAGAACATATAGGATAGACTATAGCCTATAGTAATCTTGCAAAAAGCATTCTGAACTATAGTTGTTTGATCAGGAAAAAGGAAAAAAAATCACAGTGTCAATTACTGTTTTATAAAGATGTGTATTTTACTGCATGACCATGCCTTGTTACCCTATACTTTATTCATGCACTCCTTTAAAGGTTACTTACAAACATATTTATTTTCTATTTGAACAGATATCAATCTTATGAAATGCGGATGTTCGAAAAACAAACTGAAGCCCGTTTTTCAAAAGCATATATACAAGCAGCTGTTTAATTCGGCACTTTACTGTTGAAAGTTAGAACTTTTCAAAGCAAGGTAAACCTTTTTTGTTCAACTCCAATACTGTTTCTCCAAAGAAGAACTCCAAAGAGGAACATGTACACTGCCCAGGCAGTAAAGATTCAAAGCAGGGCCAAGAAAAGCCAATATCTGTAGTCAGAACTATGGCTATTTATCTAAAGTGACTGAAAAGCTGGTGATGTATTAATTAAGGGCATGATGCATCAAACTAGGAGAAAACTTGAGATTAGCACATACTATGGCATATGTAGGTGGTTTAAGCCTAAATCTATAGCTAATACAAAGCTCTTCATTGCCTAAGACAAGTAGCTGGAAAAATACTGCTGTTTTGTAATAACTGGCAGGGAAGTTGTACAATTCAGTTATTTGTACAATAGGCCCACTGCTGTGTCTGCTGTGTGCGATCAGTTATTGAAAGAACAGACCTAAACGTTCCTTTCATCAAGCCCGTTAGAGACATTTCCTGCTTTTATAACTTAAAAAAAACCAAGACACTTCTAGCTGTCTAATTATATGTGACTTGTTAGCCTAAATAATTAAACATCCTTTCAGCGCTGCCGTGGAAAGTCCTGACCCTGTGGGTCAGTCATGTGTATTTTCAATAACTCGAATGAGTTTTTAAGTGAACTCCACAAGATTGCGCTGTGCAGAAGTTTAGATATTGCTGAAACCAAATCAGTAAGGTTCATTGACGTCGTACTTTATGTTGAATTGGCAAATACACATTCTCTGACCCCATAATAATTTACCGGGCACAGTGTGCGCTTGTTTGATGCAACCAAAGTAAATTCACTCTTTGAACCTCAGTGCAAGAAGTAAAAAAGTCAATTGATAAAAATAATAACCACTTATCCGCTGCTCTCTGTGGCTTTCCAAAATATTTTCCTAACATGACATTTATGCCTCATTTTCCTCTAGAAGTCTGTAAACTATAGAACTATATGAACCACTTCTTTTAGGGAGAAAATTGATGCATTATATTTAAATGTAAAAAAAAAATGTGAAATCCAAAGGGTATTACAAACAGTATCATGCATACAGTACACATAATTGCCTAGGCACCTGTGTATAAAATTTGATTATGCAACTATATTAACACAGTTATTTGGTTTGTTGCTGTGTAAGATATTACTATGTCTATGTTTTTCATCACAACTCAAATTTAATAGTATTAAGGAAACATACACTAAAGATAAGTAATTTACTTTGCATATCCTCAGCAAGAAACAGAGAATGGATTTCACACTCTGCTTTAGAATGTCATGCCAGTGGGTTGATTTTACAAAAGTGAATATTCTCTTACATAAATGAAGCTATGTTCACTTTGATAATAAAATCTTGTGCAAAGGAATTTTTAAAAAAACAGGATTTTGTTTAGCATATGATTTAGCTGTGCTAAAGTAAACACAGCTTCCCTGGTAAAGGCAGGATATGAGTAAAAAAAAAAACCCTGAAAACTACCTACTGCATCTTACCTGGTAAAAAAAAAAAGGTGAATTTCTGCCTAGCTCCTATACTTCAAAAGACACCATGTATGCGTTTCATTGTTTATTTCAAAGATAAAGTACTCAACCATTTCCAGTAATTCTGTACCCATACTAAGCTCTGTAAGATTACCTCTTCACCATCAAGGATTTTTCTTACCTTTAGCTCTCTGAAGAATATGCTACTCCTTGCCCATTCAACAATGGAAAACAACGTTTGGTCGGCCATTTTGCACATTAGTCCGAAGGTGTTGAGTTTATCATGTTTGCTCCTGTTGGCCTGCTCCTGCTGCAAATATGACATGATCTTACTTTGGACTTGAGGTTCATCTGGCTCACATTTCAAGAGTTCCATTATAAGGTGCGGGATGTTGGAGGGGGAACTGGACTGATAACTGTCCATATAAGAGTATCCCATGATAGACTCTGGAGAACTGGTGTAAGGATCCGGGTACTCCGATTTGATAGCTCGACTTGGGAAGTGACCATAGGCTTGGTAACTCTGCAGGCTGCCATGAGGTGGCATAGCCATGCTAATGGGTGAAGTTACAAAGGGGCTTCTGTCATAGTCTGTTGAGGGAAGGGCAGTATGGTTTAGAGGTAGACCCTTGGATGCAGAATGAATATTTTGGATAGCTGATGAAATAGTGAGATCGGTGGGAATGGCTTGGATGACCTGACTCATAGCTTCTAGTTTGAGTCCATTTGCTCGTATTAAAGCTTTTTTCTGTTGTTTAAGAGCTCGATCCCGTTTATACATTGGCCCAAATTTGTTTCTTCCCTCCTCGCATCCGGTCTGCCCTCACAGCTATAAAGCAAATTAAAAAAAAAAAGTCAAACACATTTTTCAGATAGCCTTGATTTGCCTGACTACAAATAAGGCCCAAAGACTATCAAAAGAATAAAAATTTAGATTTGCACTCTAATTGATCTAATTTGTGATACATAATGTACATTAACCACTTGCCCTCCAGAGGATTTATCCCCCTTCCGGACCAATCCATTTTTTGAGATACGGCGCTGTGTTACTTTAACTGACAATTGCGCGGTCATGCAATGCTGTACATAAATGACATTTATTTAATTTTTTTTCTCCACAAATGGAGCTTTCTTTCAGTGGTATATTGGTTTATTTTTTGCGATACAAACAAAAACAACCTACAATTTTGAAAAAAAAAACTACGGTATATTTTTGACTATAAAACATATCCAATAAAAAAAATGTAAAAGTCAAATTTCGTCATAACTTTAGTATGTCAAAAATGTATTCTGCTACATGTCTTTGCTTAAAAAAATCCCAATATATGTAAATTAATTGGTTTACATGAAAGTTATAGCGTCTACAAATGGCGGTATTTATACAGGAATTTTTATTTTTTTTATACTAGTAATGGCGGCAATCAGCGACCTATAGCGGGACTGCGGCGGGCATTCTGACACTGGGTAGGAACTGAATAACTGCCACTGACATCCCCCGTGACACTAATACAGTGATCAGTACTATTAAAAATCACTGACGCTGTACTAATGACACTGGGCAGGAAGGGGTTAACATCCGGGCTGATCAAAGCGTTAACTGTGTGCTGTGTGTGTGTTTTACTTTGGAGATATGCTGTTTTGTACCTCTGCTGTGCAAAGATATACAACACAGCATGTCCATGCTGATAGGAGAGAGATTTGTGTTTTTTACACACAGGTCTTTCCTCGTCAGCTTTTCCCGACAATTGCCGGCCGGGACCCGGTGAATGACTGACATCCCTAGCCGCCAATAGCGGTGCGGGTAGGGTGGCGCGTGCATGTGTCCCCTACCTGGAAATGCAAATCACGTATATATATATATGTGTGTGATTTCGCACAGCCCTGCCACCCATTTCTGCTATAGGGCGGTGGGGAAGCGGTTAATGTAGCTATAACTATACTACTTACAATGTTTCCTTTATTTTCATGATGACTCAAAGTTTTACTACGCACAAAAAATCTAAATAACTGCAAACCCAACCTACCACATTTGTTCTAGATGTATTTATGTATACGTAAACAGGCAGTTAACATGGAAACCAGAAAACAAATTCAGCTACATAGTATCTACACATATGTTTCTGTTGAAGCACACCTCGGGTCTAATACGTCTTCATCATTCAGTAACAGAAATATTAAATTGATTGCTATATAATAATTTGGGTTATCAAATGATTTGGGGCAGCTGTAGGACAGCAGAAAATGTTAGAAAACAAGGGGTTGATTTATTAAAACAGACAGTGCAAAATCTGGTGCAGCTGTGCATGGTAGCCAATCAGCTTCCAGGTTTTTTTTTTGTCAAAGCTTTAGTGAATAAAGCTTTTTGTCAAAGCTTTAGCTGAATTTAGAGGCTGATTGGCTATCATTAATAAATGATCCCATTTTATTGACTACTGGACTGTAGGTATCATATTATACAACCTGTAAGTTATAGGGTGTGTGGGGAGGTGTTCCTCAATTTAATGTAGATGTTTGTTACAAAAAAGAGATTACAAATTAGAGCCAATTTACTACAGAGGTAGACAGACAACTAACCCCAGAGTGTTTTTACTTTAAATACCCAATCATGTTCAGGAGAAATTAAGAAAATATGAAATGTCCTTGAATGTGATTGGATGGTTGAGCTCTCAAAGTTACCATAGTAAATGAGCTCCATCAAAATATGGCCATTTTAGGCCCTCAATAAGGTATAGTGTAAACTAAAAAAAAAAAAATAGTAACACACTGAACCACTTGAAAAATATATTTTTATACTACATAGGGTTGTACATGCATTTTTTTACATAGAAACAGTGTTATCCCTTAAAATATCAAGTACACCCACTATATGGATGAAGTCAAAATCTACCATTTGTCACAGGAATTTACTGTAAATTGAAACCCTTTCCTAGATACACGTCAAGATATTTCTACTTTCAAAAATGAAACTATAATTTTGTCAGCTCGTCACTTTCTTAAAAGGGGAAAAAAAAAGAAAAGCAATTTATTTTAACAAAAGCTTGCGAAAAGCAAAAGTCTTCAGTTTTAGGAATAATTAAACAGAAGTGTGGTTCAGCTGCAGCCAGGGGGGGGATTTTAATGGGGATTAGCACAGCGGTGAGTTTCACTGCAGTGCAACTTTAATGGGATAGCGAGTGACACTGACTGAGCCTACCTTGGCCAGTGGCTCTTATGCAAAGGAGTGATTACAGCACCATTAAAAATGCATGGGGATCTCAGATACACATCCAGCATAAAGACTTCTGCAATTAATGAATCTGAGTAATTTATAGGATACAATTTAAGTTTAATGGGTCTATTAGCAAAGTATACACTGTGGTGTCATTACATGGAGCAGGAGTTATGGACAAAGGCTGCATTAAACTAGATGTACATCTTATTACAAGAATTCAAAAACATTATGATACTTAAATCAAGCAATAATATGGTTATACTGACATATATGTGTATACCCGTGTATTAATATATATACAAATAAATATATATATATATATATATATATATATATATACACACACACACACACATATATATATATATATATATTTATAGACAGATACAGATTTTTTTTTTAAAGTAATATATGTTAGGATTATGACAAGCTGTAAAATAGTACATTAGAAATGTTATTTTTTTCTTAATTTTTTTCCTTAGTAATTCTGAAATTCTTTCAATAATTAGATACAGAGAAAGATTTTTTGGGGGTGGAAAAGAAAGTCCTCGAGAAAAAAAAATGTTCTTCTCACATTTCCCTGTCTGCTGGGTTTATTTTTCTTTTTAGGCATTTTATATACTATACTTTCCACATCTGGAAACCTATAAAAGTGTCTTTTTTTAAGAGAAAAGAAAGTTTGACGTCCCAAATGAAAAGATCAGTTGCAGGGTGATAATCAAAAAATGTATTTGTGGTTTGGTTGACCTTGGTGACCTTTCGCTTGAAGCCTCTTTTTTGTCCTTGAAATTGCCGACTTCAGTGGATAAGAGGGTATTAACAACACCGTTTCTATTGCTCTGCATTTTCACTTATTATCACAGGAACTAAAGCCAATCTTTACATATTGTAAGCTGCTTGTAATTCCTCAGGTTGGCTTCAGCAATCCCTAGTTTTATAACTAAAACCAAACCTGTCACATGCAAGAGCCTTGTTCTGTATCACTACTTACATTTCCACATTTACTTTTTAATTTCCAGCTGCCGTTGAGTAATCAGCAGTGGAAAAAAAACAAGTCTTTTCTTACTACTTTCTACATAAACCTCTGACACCTATGCAGGAAGCCATGGATTGGGGTTCTCAACACTCTCTGTGTATAGAAATTGAAGAGAATTATTCAATTATTGTGAATTTTGTATTGCATTGGAACATTATTTGGGTCACCAACAGACTCAGCACACCCATGAATATCCAAGCACTCATTTGTGACTGATTACCTTTAATAAACAATAGAGATCATAACAGCAGAAATGATTGGCATCAATTCCTAATATTTAAACCAAAGCCCCAGTACATTATTTGTTCTGTGCAGTAGATTGTATAAGTACTGCAATGCTTTTCAATAAAGCATCACCATGTGACATTGCAAAAGCCCCATCTGAGTTGCAGTCTCCTAGGGAATGGAAGTAGGCATTATAGAATGCAGACTCCAGTGGAATACATTGGGGCATTGTCAACGTTGAGATCAAATGAAGTTCCAATTCAGAGCTGAAATACGTATTCATAATAGTTGATATATTATTATACAACTTTTGCATTGATGTTTTTAACCCATGACTCCATAAATAAAAGTATTCCTATGTACATGTATAGCTTGTATCACTACATACTATTACCTTACCTTCTAACTTCATCCCAACACTGAGACACTTTTGGAACCTGCAGTAAGGACACCTCTTCCTCTGAGTCTTATCAATCTGACAGGTCTGGTTTTCAATGCAAGTATATCTCTTATTGTTCTGAACTGTCCGTTTGAAAAAGCCCTTGAGGTGTGTAAGAGAAATAAAGTTATTACCAAAGACATGAAATTCTGCATCTTGCGCTATGTAGCTTTTGATTGATACAACTTTTGATTGATTTCAACTTTTTAACACAGGTGACCGAGTCCACTGCATTGCCTTAACTAAGACGCTTGTACACAATGAGGTTGATTTACTAAAGGAGTACAAACAGTTCACTTAGCTTGCTAAATACCGAAAAGCTGTGTTTAAATCAATCATCCAATCAAGTGCAAGCAAAAATCATTTTTTGTTCATTTACGCTGCACATTATTGGATGGTTGAAGTAAACAAAACTTTATTTTTTATTTATTTCAGGTACTTATATAGTGCTGTCAATTTTATGCAGTGCTTTACATATATATTGTACGTTCACATCAGCCCCTAACCCTCAAGGGGTGTACAATCTAAGGTCCCTAACTCACATTCATACATACACATACTAGGGCCAATTTAGACAGGAGCCAATAAACCTACAAGCATGTCTTTGTTGTGTGGGAGGAAACTGGAGTACCTGGAGGAAACCCAAACAGGCACAGGGAGAACATGCAAACTCTAGGCAGGTGGTGCCGTGGCTGGGATTCAAACCAATGACCCTCGTACTGCCAGGTGGAAGTGCTAATCATTTAGCCACTGTGCTGCCCACTTTCTCTACTGGTAATGAACATTCACATAGCAAAGTGATCATAGGCTTTGACCAGTGAACAGCCTCTACTTCTTTAGTAAATCAAGCCCAATAAAAAATTCATATCTGATTTGTACATTTAAACATATTATTTTTAATTGTTTCAACAGGAAGATGTTTATGTGCAACTATTAGTTTTCTATTAAACGGCCTGAATATGTTTTGCAATAGCCTTCGAAAAAAGATAGGCACTGAGACCAAGGCACTTAGCCTGCAGTAACACGAGCAACATTGAATTTTGACCAAAGCACACAGTAAAAAAGGGGTGACATTTAGAAAAAGAAAAAAAGAAAACAAAAAAATGTTTTACAATTCCCTTTTCATGTACAACTGACTGTTAATTTTCTATTATACAGCTCTGATAGTGTAAAATAAGCAGACAAGGTGTCTCATTTTAAGAATAAGACTGCAGTAGCACGAGTGACATTTCATTTTGACCATAGTACAAAGTAAAGGAGGGATAACATTCTGAAATAGTCATTTTCCCCTTTAAACATGTCACAGTCTCTACCCACTCACATACGGTGTTAATACGTTATTTGTTTCAAAGTCTGAATAACCATTGTCAACTCAAAATGGTCACTTTGGCAATCTTAGTCTAAACCTTCACAGTTTCATGTTGACAGTTATTAGATATTTTTATCTAAGTATAAATTATAAATGATCAACCTTGATTAAAATCCCTTTACTCAAGTATTTTAAAATGTATTTACACCAGTGGAGGGATCTTTACACTAACCCAGCTAAAGTGTGCTGGACCGGTAGCATAAAAAGCTTTAAATTGCTGAAAACGGTCTTCAGTATTAAAACATTAGATTTGTGTATGTAACAGTGACATATTCAGCTAATGGCACACTAAAAGACCAGATAAGCAAGGCTTTAAGTTTGGATCCCAAATATCGTTTTGTCAGACTTGTTTTACATTATAATATGGACTTAAAAGCATTTTGTGCTTCTTATTGATATATGCCATCCAGATACCGGATGGACAACATAATGTAGACTTTAGAGACCAGTCAGGTCAATCTAAGGGTCAATAAATACTTTTACAGAGACAAAAAGCCTCTTGACAATGGTAGAGAAAGGTAGGCCCTAGATAGAATCCTGGGATTTCTTCAGTCCTATACCAGTAACTGTATATAAATCTGAATGTGATAACCATACATATTACATACAAAGGTTACATATGAAGGTAGCTTTGTTAGCTTCTAATGCACAACTAGGTCTGGTGAAACTTTATAAGTTCTCCACCTAAATATCAGCCAACCAGGGTTGTGGTCATACACAGCACTATAGCAAGATAACTACATTGCAAAACAATATAAAAAACTGTAAGGGGAAAAATAAATAAGTAATAACAATTTAAAAAAAAAAAAAAAAAAAAAATATATATATATATATATATATATATATATATAATGTATAGTTTAATCCAAGGAACAGATGGTGCCAAATCAAATGGTAAACCCAAATAAATTATATATTTATTTATTCACATTCACCGTTTGCTTTTGCAGCATCTCTTCCTTGGATAATATATAGAGTATATATATATATATATATATATATATATCAGATATATTCACATGCACAGCTGTGTAAGTTTACATAACCTCTACGTACAACCATGTAATCAATAGTAGTGCAGTTAACAGTTAAACAGTAATGAGTAATACCACAGTTAAGAATCTTTTTAGGATTGTATTGTTGCAAGCATGTATCAACTTTCTTAACTACGCACCTTGCAACTCTCGCAGGTCAGCAGTCCATAATGATATCCAGATACTTTGTCCCCGCAGACTGGACACAGCTCCTCCAGGTCATCATCATAGGAGTAACCCATCATTTTAAACTGTGACACTGAGTAAAAATGAGCACAAAGCTTAAAAATAAAATTAATGTTTCTGGACGTAGCAAAAATCTACGCCCAATAACACCATTACAAAGTTATTTTCTACAATAGTAGACAAATATAGACTGTAATGTTGATTTTAAAATGCTGTACAATGTACTACATATACTAGACAAAGAAATGCTGGAAAAGAGAACAGTTTTAGTTGAGCTTACAATGAGACAAAAATTGTGCAGCTGGTTTGTAAAAGTTAAAGATTATAGACAGATGTTCCACCATGACTTCATATTTTCCAATATGGTCCTTAAAGTGAACCTGTCACAAAAAGACAATAGCTGTGCTGTAGAGCAGGATGAGATGATACAGAAATCACTTTTTTCATTTTTTATGTTCATGCTGATGTTGTTGAGTACTCCCCAATAGCATCAGATGTTTTAGTACCTTTTATTTAAATCCCAGCATATACCCATAAAGCAGCCTATTAGCTGAAGAAAGATGTACAGAAGTGGATCTCCCAACACTGCTCTGTCTCTGCGCATAGTTCGCAGTTATCTCATGTGTCAGCACCACAGTGAATGCATGATTACATTGTAATATAAATCTGGATAAAAATGGCCTTGGAGAAAAATGTTAGTTTGTCTAATTATTGAATTGCTGCAATCTTTTAAAAGTGAAAGATTTGCTTGAAGTACCATACATATACCCAGCAATACCCTAGACAGCATAATGTTTTGTATGCTCAAGTATTAATTAAAAAGCAGCTAAAAAATCTTCCAAGAAAATAAAAACATTTAGTTTGAGTCGAACACAGACATCTGAGTGACCATTATTTTTTATCGCATGGAAACTATTTGTTAATAGGCATGTTGTGGAACTATGAGTCCCAGCATGTCCTGTCGACCTCTATTATTGTGGCAGGACTTGATTAGGACAACACCATACCATATGGAGGGACAGGTTGCCTATACCTGATTTGGGAACTTGCATACTTGTGAATGTTCTGTGATTCATGAATTAGAAATGATACTACTAGCTGCAACTCAGTCTAGCTTTTAACCGTAATTTAAAAACAGGCTACAGCTGGGCCCTTAAATAATCCTTATCATCTAATAAAATCTGCAGTCATATTATTGATCATTCCAAACCCAACTCTTGGGAATAAAGTAACACCTTTCTTGAACGGCAAACATGCATCCCACAGTTTACTACTGAGGATTCTGAATTCTGAGATATATATATATATATATATATATATAAAATAAATATAGGGACACACACACACTAAATATATAAAGTAACATACTCTGTATACTATAAAGTTGTTGCATCTATAAATATATTTAAATAGGCTTCATAAATATTGCAATGTCTTTCCATAATGAGACAGAATTATGAACAGTTTATAAATGTATTGAAAGAACCTTAATCAGGCAACTGTAAAACAGACAGGTATATAAACAAATCTATTCAAGAGAAATGACTGGGTTTTATTCATGCAGGCTATGTGATAAGTATTTTGCAAAGTTTTCTAGTTACTATGTCATTCCAGCTGTATACAGCAAATACATAGACTTTCTTACTAATTAGCTCTCATGCTGTACACAATATTTTACTATCCATTGATCTACATTTGGAAAATAATCCAAAAGCCTTTAGTGCTAATATGCTAAAAAAAAAAGAAATTCTGACCTATACACAAGCACTTTAAATACCCAGTTAAGTTTAGAATTTTAGAAAATGTAATTCCCCAAAACTTGAATGGGTATTTGAGGTGAACCCAAAAGAGGATGCAGAACATTCCATAGGGAAATCACCTATGTCTGTTCTCTGACAGAACAAATGATCAAATTATGTTCATAAATAATGCATCTTATATACCGCCCTTTACCATTGCAAAATTTTTTAACAGAGTTGTAAAGAAGAAACGTTTGCAGTAACTTATAAAATGTTACTGTCAGCTGTATTTTCAGAAGAACACATATTTAAAATATGGCATCAAGAAATTCCTACAGACAGTCAATATTGCAAGAACCCATTGCACAACAAATGCCACCTATTCAGAGTCACGCCAACTAGATTGTAAGCTCTGGGTGCCTACACAATTGCACTATAAAAGAAGTGAAACATTATTTGGCTCTTTCACTGCTGATAAGAATAAAGAAACACTATAAATGTACACACTAGTACATTACAACATTGTTTACTATCCATACATTATAATCTCATTGTGTATTTGTGTATACACATGTGAAAAGTGAAAAATATGTACCTGGACAGTAAAGTTGGAACTTCGGTTGCTAGTTTATCTGTTAAAACAACAAATCTAATTTGTTTTTACTTGTCTTTATGGCAAAAGCCTGCATGTACATAACTTCAAAATGAGGGTAAATAAACTGATTTTTATATAAATAATAAAAATAACAAAAAAAAAACCACTACATTCTTATTTAGTACAGAATTTTGAATTCTAATTTAGTGGATTTGACACAGAAACACAAGAAGTTGACAATGCCAGGTTTTCATTTACCAAATTTACAGGTCATTTACCAAACAGGACCAGAAATGATCAAGCTTAGCAAAATGGAAATAAAAACTAGCAGCTCTTTCATTATAAAATCGTTTTTGAGTTGTACAACCTATATGCACTGTATTGCCTATGTGGTATTGGTTTAACAAGTCATCTTGAATTAGGCAGAAATGCAAGCTCCAATTAGTTTCATACAGAAACTTTGCTATTCTACTGTCTGCAACGTCGCCTCCCAGTTACAGGTTGGAGTTTTAAATCTCAGCAGTGTTTTCAAATCAAACATTTCTTAGGAAAAATTTGTCTAGTATTCATGTGAATTTCTCAGCATACTTACATTTCTAAAAATAATCTAGATTTTAGCTGCTTAGTCAATTAAATAACATTTGAAAGAAAAGGGAATTTAACGAAGCAAAATAAATACTTTTATTAAGAAATTAAATGGAAAGAAAACCTGGGATTGTCAACTTCTTGTGTTTCTGTGTCAAATAAATCCACTACATTAGAATTCAATAATCTGTACTAAATAAGAATGCAAAAATTACCACTAAGTAAGATTATAATAATTTTTACTAAGTAAGAATTTATTAAACCCTACTAAGTAAAAATATAATTTATTTAATGCGTACAATTAACGTACAATTTATTTGCTCTTAAAAATCTTACATGAAATAAAAAGCACATGCATTGGAAAATTAGATTCTTACTTAGTAGAGTTTATTAATGTTTTAGTAGACATTTTATAAATATATATATATATATATAGAATATAAGCCTGTATATGTCCAGATTTGACACGTCTTAAAATTAGACATCCTAAGTTTAGAACTGGGCTTTGAATTTGATATAAAAACTAGAACTACACAAATGGATATACTTTAACTGGACACCTTTAATGGAGTCAGTATTGAAATGCATCAGATTAATGCCTCTTCCAATAAACTGTATTACAAAAGTGAAATTAGGAAAATCTGAGAACACAACCACCTATACATTAGCCATCATTTTCCTGTGCCCTAAAAGTGCCTATTGGATGGACTGCATGAATATCTATTTTCCTATTATGCTTATGATCACCTACACTAATGAGTCTAATAAAGCTGTATGTAACTGCCCCTGCCAATAACTGTACGATGTATACAGTGTATCTTGAAACAACTGAATGACAGAGGATGACCCCTGCGTGATCATCTTCCCTAATACCCTGTCACAGTCCTATACTGGGATATCCTGTATACTCATTGTCACATACTTCTTTGCAGGAAGTGGGGAAGGGGAAATTGACACAATATTATTTTATATACAGTACTACATGTGTAGCTTGTCATCCATTGATCTATCTGAGTTTGGGCATATTTATACCATACAGCTGCACACAATCTGTATATATATATATATATATATTTATGTATATATATATATATATATATATATATATATATATATATATATATATATATATATATATATATATATAAAAAACAAGATTTCTAAGCAACTAACTTTTGACACCCAACATAGCACCCCTCCTTTAGGATCACCTCCTTAACCATACATTTTTTATTTTTATGGTCCTATCCTGGCTTAGAATATTGTGATAAAGTGTAACAAAGAGGCTGATTTACTAAAAAAAAAAACTTGGGATTTTTTACTAAAAAAAAGCGTGAATTGTCACTTGATTTATCTAATCCTATGAAAAGTAGATACCTGATCACTTTGAATGCCCCATCATGATGCCTTTCACATGCATGGATAATTGAAGTGAATATTCACACAATATTTATTTGAGTGAAGCTTCTTGACTTCTTTAGCAAATTAGCTCGAATGTGCAAATAAACTTATGTGAGATGAACATAACTACTGATGATGGAAGACAAATGTGTGACCAATAACTGTACTAGGAAAAGTCGCCTCCATGCCTCTGCAGCCTATAGGCACAGACCAAGTATACTATAACTTATGGTAATACACACACACATACACATGTCACCATATTCAATATATATATATATGTATATATATATATATATATATATATATATAGAGAGAGAGAGAGAATATGGGGACATGCACAAAAACCCGCACACTCACTATATATATACACACATATATATATATATATATATATATATATATATATATATATAATAAATGAATATGGAGACATGCATGAACACCTGCACACTATATACTATATATAAAGTTACACATTCCATATACTATGTACAAAGTAGCTGTGTTTGTGTATATCTATCTATCTATCTATCTATCTATCTATCTATCTATCTAATCTATCTGTCTATATATATATATGTATATATCTATACAATGAATATGGGGTCATGTACAAACACCCTCACACACACTACATATGTATAAATATATATATATATATATATATATATATAAAAAGTTCCACATTCCATATACTATGTATACAGCTGCTGTGTTTGTATATATATATGTATATATATATATATATATAA